CTCTCTCTCTCTCTCTCTCTCTCTCTCTCTCTCTCTCTCTCTCTCTCTCTCTCTCTCTCTCTCTCTCTCTCTCTCTCTCTCTCTCTCTCTCTCTCTCTCTTCTTCCTTCCTCTCTCTCTCTCTCTCTCTCTCTCTCTCTCTCTCTCGTCTCTCCCCCCTCTCTCTCTCTCTCAACAGGGTAGCAACCCTGCTCCTATCAGAGAGCAGAGAGCTGAACACGTGCGCGACGCTTCGCTGTGGCGACGTACGCAGCAACTTGCCGACGACTGGCGACCACGTCGGTCCGGGCATCTCCTCAAACGGTCGCGCGCACTCCAGCGCCCTCGTGCGGCCGCACCGCTCGCTGACCTCTGACGGCTCCCGGTCAAGCCGTGGACAGTGGACGGCGGCCGGAGCCGCAGCGTCGGCCGCAGCGTCGGCGCAGACGCCCGGAGCGCCGCGTGACGTCTTCGTCCTCAGCCACGTGCGCGGTGACGTCGCGGTGCGCATGACGTCACTGGCTAATCGCGGGAGCATCGACGGCGGCGTCACCTGGTGGCCGAGGATTTCGGGAATCTGTAGATTTTAAGCAGAACAAATAATTAACAAAACTAGTTAAAATTAAAGTTAAGTTCATAATAGCGTCACACTGATTGCTTGACAGCATCATAGCTCTAAATACTATAACATCCGCTGAAACAGAGTTGAAACGTGTCCCTCATTCCTGCCTGCATTCCCTAGAGCATATGTTCTTACTAAGTGACCTTGTTGCATTGAATGTCGTAATCTTAATACAATAAAGTCTATAGTAATTATAACTACCCTACAATAACATCAAGTAAAGCAATACGCATCAATGCAGTGAAAACCGGTACGTAAATGAGTAAATTTAATACTTAAACTAAAACTTAAACTTTAATTTAATAATTTAATAAAATAAATAAGTAAAGTAAGTACTTAAACGTCAATAAATAATATATTATAGATAATAATGAATGAGTCCATAACTACTCCAGAAAATACATCAATGGATGCTCATATGTCAATACAAGACTAGAGTAAGTAAAACTACTTTACAGTATACATCACAGAAAGCATACATATCAATACAATATGGTCTATAGTTATGGGTATAAGGCGTTCTAAGTGTCGGAAAGCTGTCGGTGTGTATATCTACAAACCTAGCTGCCTGAATGAAGCTACTCCATCAGTAGCTACGGAGGTTCCTGTGCTCTAAACAACAGCTCCACCTCTGTATGGCTTTCCTCCGTTTCCTCTCTGTCTCCCCGATCTACTCTCTCTCTCTCTCCTATATAATCTTGCCGCCTCCTTTCTGTCTCCGCAGTCTCCTCTCTGTGCGTATTTGCTTCCTTTCCTTCCAGCTTCCTCTGTGCCTCTTTCCTCCACTTCAGCTTCTTCTCTGCCTCTTATTCTGCTTTCTTCCTCTGCCAGCCTCTCAGCCTCGTCGGCTGCCTTCGCGGTCGCTTGCTTCCCTTTCTCACAGTTTGCTCGCAGTCAGACTTCTATCGGCAAGATGAATCTGCAACACAGACCAGACGATGAGACACGGTGAGACACGGTGAGACGCGGAGAGACACGGTGAGACACGGCGAGACACGGTGAGACGCGGTGAGACATTGTAAGACACGGTGAGACGCGGTGAGACACGGTGAGACACGGTGAGACACGGTGAGACGCGGTGAGACACGGTGAGACACGGTGAGACACGGTGAGACGCGGTGAGACACGGTGA